AACAATACAAATTCATACCATAGAAAATGTTAACATTATGTATATCTAGGTCATGTCATCAAGCTAGGAAAACCAAATCAATATGCTGAAATTAAAAGAAGAACACAACTGGTATGGGGTGCTTTCGGCAAACTAGTATACATCTTGAAAAACACCTCCATTACAGTAAAATAAAGAAAAAGGTGTATAACACATGCATACTACCAGTTTGTACCTACGGCTTGGAGACAGTAGACCTTACCAAAAAATCTGCTAAAAAATTAGAAACAACGCAAAGAGACGTAGAACGAAGATTAGGGATATTGTGAAAGAAATTACAAAAATGAAATGGCGATGGGCAGGTAACGTAGCCCGATATAATGACAACAGGTGGATACGGAGAATTCTAGAATGGAGGCCAAGGACGACAACAAGAAGCATGGGAAGACTTCAAAAAAGATGGGTAGATGACATAAGAACAGTGGCAGGCAAACAGTGGATTAGATTTGCGCAAGATATAGAAAGATGAAAGCAATTGGGAGAGACCTACATTCAGGATTGGATGGAAAATGGTTGACAAAGAGAAGAGAGAGCCTATTCTGTGTAACAGTAACAGGTTTAATATTATTAGCTTTTTGATTTGTATCTTTTGTGTATAAGTACTATAAAATCTATAATACTTTTAACGCCTCTTATCCTCCAAATTTTGATCTCAGAAAGTATTTCTTATTTTTAAATTGTTTGTTATGAAAACTGTCGTTATTATTTCATGTCTATTCAAGGTTTCTTCTCCTGACATCCCCATACATCCTATTCCTCCATTAAATTTGTTTAAGTTGGCAATTCAACAAATACTTTGAACGAGTTTCCGATAATATAGACACATACTTTTCCAACAATTCATCATTATGATATATCCACAACACCCACTTGGCATAACCAAAACGTAATACCCGTGCATTCCACTCTGTTCCAAAATAATCGACTACTTACAACTTTGTTATTTCAAATTTAATTTTGTCAATCTTCACTCTCGTGTCGCTTAAATGCCCGTGATTTATTTATTTTCTGAAACGACGTCGAACGAAGTCACATTTTCTGGTGTCTAGAACCCAAACCTCATTTATTCCGTCTCTTTGAGAAACTACAAACACGAAAATAGACCCGTCTAGTCCAGGTATATCGACTATTTTTAATTACTCGAGTTTTGTAAAAAGATCTAAAAATAGTTTAAAAAATGTTAAGTTTAGAAGACGTGGAAGGGTTTTTGTATTAAACTTATTTATTTTGCAATTTGTCTAAATCGACAACTAACGATCATGATGGTAACGCTTGACAATAATACGAAAACAAAATACTAAATTCACATCCAAATCCAAATGTGAAACAGATGCCAAATTTGCATTTGCAATACTCCGAATTTTAAGTAGCTTTTTAATTGTCCCCCATTGTTTTTTCTTTTGCCACAGTCAAAACGAAGGCCTAGAGCTAAAATACTATTCATATAATACTTATATGTTATAAAACCATGTTTGTCCAATCATGCTCCTTGCCTACAACATTGACTTACTATTCTTCTTCATTCATCCCTGTTTGTTGCTCTTTCTTTCCAACCATCAATATCTCTTTCTGAGATATTCCTGTACACTACCAAACCATCTTTTTCTGAGTTGTCCTTTTCTTTGGCATCCTCTTTCTTTCGATTCTCATCAAGTGCCCCATCCACCTTACTCTCTGTGCATTTATGAAGCGACTGATGCTTGGTTCATTATACAGTTGCTCTAGCTTCCTGTTTGTACGTCACACTCAATCTTCCACCGTGTTTTCGTCTCCATATATAGCTCTTAACATTTTCAAAATGGGCAGAAGACGAAAGCCTATACCTTTTGTTTGATGCCAAAGATCGACCAACCTTCAGATCTGCGGCATGGAGGCGGGAATACAACCCCGACCTATGCTTCGTCTCGACCGACAACAAAGACTTACCTTTAGGGGCTTCACGAAGAGTTCTAACTGATTTCCCACACAGCCAACATCGACCAGTAATAATAGAAGTAGGGACGCAAATCCCTTTAATTAGTTCTATCCCACGTCCAAGATGGAATTTTAAAAAGGCCAACTGGATTGACTTCTCTGTGGATCTAGATAAATGCCTAGGGTGGATTACACCGAATATCAAAAACTACCACAGATTTGTTGGTGCTGTGCTAAGTGTAGCTAAAAAACACATACCAAGAGGATATCGCAAAGAATATGTTCCTGGCTGGTCGGAAAATAGCGAGGAACTATATCAGAGCTTTCTTGAAACTGGCCACCAAGAAATAGCGGATGAACTACTGTACAGCCTAGACGCCGCTAGAAGACAAAAGTGGACCGAAACAGTAGAAAGTCTAAACTTCCAGAAATCAAGCAGACAGGCATGGTCATTACTAAGAAAATTAGGGAGTGGTGTCCGTACGAAACGCCAAGAGGCAGCTGTAAAGCCAGATGCCGTAGCATCACATATAGTAAAAACATCCAGAGCACCAAAGGATAAAGCACACACTATCTACGTAAAGAGAGAACTTAAAACTTTAAAACATGTAGCCACAGAAACGGAGCATTCCCTCCCCTTTACCAGCGAAGACATATCAGAGGCTCTAAAAGATGTTAAGCCAGCAAAAGCACCAGGATTTGATAATATTCACCCTGAATTCCTACTAAATTGTGGCAAGTATACAAAAGTTTGGTTGGCTCGATTTTTCACAGACATCATGGAAACTGGAAATATCCCACAAGAACTAAAGCGCTCTAAGATAATAGCCATACCAAAGCCAGGCAAACCCGCTGACAACCCAAAAAACTACAGACCAATTGCGCTTCTCTCTGCCATCTACAAACTATTAGAGAGGCTTATATATAATAGAATCAGTACAGAACTGTTCCAGGTGATCCCAGTCGAACAAGCGGGTTTTCGACCACAACGAAGCTGCGCGGACCAGGTGATGTCACTCACCACCTACTTCGAAGCGGGTTTTCAAAGAAGACTTAAAACTTCAGCGGCATTTATTGATCTCTCGGCAGCTTACGATACAGTATGGAGAGAGGGCCTTATATACAAAATTCTCCGTGCAATTCCCTGTAAACAAATAGCACGTTTAATAGATAGCATGCTCAACGACCGAATGTTTCAAGTAGTGATGGATACAGATATCAGCCCATCAAAGAAACTTAAAAATGGCCTACCACAGGGGTCAGTGATCTCTCCATTACTATTTAGCTTATATTTAGCAGATATGCCAGAAACACAATCAAGAAAGTTCGGATACGCCGATGACTGGGCCCTCACTACACAATGCCGAACACTAGAAACATCTGAAGAAGTTCTGACGGCAGACTTATCTATATTGAGCAAATATTTTCGCAAGTGGCGGCTTCAACCAAATGCATCCAAAACAGAAGTAAGTTGCTTTCACCTGAACAATAAACTTGCTGGAAAGGAACTCAACATACGGTTTGAAAATACCACACTTTCCCACAACAAAACACCGAAGTACCTGGGCGTAACACTAGACAGAACGCTATCATTTAAAGAGCATTTAACAAAAACTGCCCAAAAGTTGAGTACAAGAAATAACATTATACAGAAGCTCTACCACCTGGGGAGCATCGGCTTCCACTCTCCGCTCTACTGCTTTAGCCCTTGTTTTCTCGACCGCTGAATATTGTGCCCCAGTTTGGCTGCACAGTCCACACGTAAAAAAAGGTCGACACTCAGCTGCACAGCACTATGAGGATGATATCTGGTACAATTAAATCAACTCCCAACCAATGGCTTCCAGTATTAAGTCACATTCCACCTTCACATTTACGACGAGTTGACGCACTTACACGTGAATACAAAAAGATCATGAACAATATAAACCTGCCGATCCACCAAGATACCGAGGATGCACGAAATACCCGTCTACGTTCTAGAAAACCACCAATGAAAACGGCAAGAATGATACATGAGGAGTTCAACATCACGAATGCATGGTCCCAAGAATGGAATGCATGGCAAAATATCATGCCCTTTATTACCCACAAGCCACCAGGTTTTGATCTTCCACGTAAAACATGGTCCACTCTAAACAGGATCCGAACCAGACATGGCAGATGTGCATACATGCTACATAAATGGGGAAAGAATCCGTCTCCTCAATGTGACTGTGGGAAGGACCAAACGATCGACCACATTATTGAAGAGTGTCCCTCAAGATCTTATAACGGTAGCCCTGAAGATTTCCTGTTTGCAACTTCAGAGTCAATTGATTATGTTAATACACTTGATGCTTGTTTGTAATTATTTAAAGTTTGTCATATACCTATATTACTAGTGTTTGTAATTTTGTTCTAAATGTGTTGTAATTGCCATACGATAAATAAATAACATTTTTCTTTTCCAATCTTTCCAGTTTCTTCGTATTTGCTTTTAGGGTATTCCAACTTGTTTGATTTTTTATAGTTGGTTATAATCTTTTGGTCGATATATTCCAGTTTTATGACCTCCACCCGGAACAGGCAACAAATGTTAAAACACTTCCACTGGAGAAGAAGAAGATTAATTAATAAATATTGCTCTCTTTGTCAAAAACTGAATAACATATTACTCGCTAACCGTATATATACAAACTAATACGATAAAAATCATCTTTGTGATCGTGAGATGTTTTTCTCTAGCATTTCTCATGTAAATTAGGACAAAGTTTTTCGTTTTTTATATTAAAATTTATGAGAGTTTTACAGCGTGCCGCAGAGTGGATCAAATACATAATTTTTTTAACTTTTGAAAACACGATAAATTACTTTCGTGAATATAAAATATATACCGTGAATATAAAATATGTTCCGTGAATATAAAATATAAATTGTTATTTTTTATTGTACTTCCTTCTAAAAAGTTTCATTTTAGATTTTTTTGCACTTTACTTGATGTTAAACTCTAATAATTCTAAAGTGGTTGTGTAAAGTAAATTATGACACGTGCTTATTACTTCCAGACGGAATCAACAAGTCCGAACAATGAAGAGGCTACCAGTCAAGATTTAAGTGGTGGTGAAGCGTCGAACAATGTGTCCGATTACAGCGGAAATCACAACGTATACAACATGGTCTATCCTGGTTATTATGTTAATGGAATATGTCCACCTCAAGGTAAGATAATAAGTGATTAATTACATCTCTTAAAACTATGCTGCAATCACAAAAGAGGAAAGAAAACACTACAAAACAAACACAAGGTTTATAACATTAAATAGATACATTTATTAAAATGTTTGTCTTTATTTTATTTGGTATTAAGGGAGAGATAAAAATCTATAACTATATCTTCAAAAAATTGTTTAAAAAAATTCAATAATGTTAGTCCACAGTTACCCTGCGTTAGTGTCTTCAAAAATGTAGGTTCATTTTTCTTGACATATATACAAACAGCCTGGCAGTCAGCACCAACAAAACTAATAGTAAAAAACAGCATGAATAATTATGTTATAAAATTAAAGAAAAAATCACGAAAAAGACGAATACTGGGGAAAGCATGTGCACTTCAGGATAAAACTTAACACCTGATTAAACCAAGTTATTATCAAGGTAGGAAAAATTGGATAACTTGGCCATATTCTGAGAGGGAAAAAATATGCAATCCCTCAACTAATCATCCAGGGAAAGATTGAATGCAAGAGAAGAGTGGGTCGCAAACAAATATCGTGGCTACGGAACATGAAGAACTAGGCAGGCATAAATAACACTGGCGATCTTTTACATGCTGCAAAAGACCAGTCAGACAGATTCAGCCATCCAAGAAGTGGACCATCAACACCCATTTTTTTAAGTTTAAATATAAAACTATTATGGTTGGCGCGATCTAGTTGACTTAACTTTTTTTCTTTTAACTACACATCTAGTTTTACTCACTTCTACATTTCTTTCTATTTCCCATAGCTGAATATCACCTTACATAATCATTCCTACTTAACTCTATACTTGTCACCATTAATACACTAACATCACCCCCTTTTCCAATATCCAACTACCCATCCTCTCCAATAACTACCATCTCACTTATCATACATATTTTCTTATAAATATTCATTTTACAACTATCAATCTCTTATCACAATCAGTTTCAATATACCCAGCTTACATCGTCACATTCACCTCCTATTTCCTTTTTTTGCTTTCTCTTTTATTTCTTTTTTCTTTTTCTTTTTCCTCGACTCATCTTCCATAAATTTCAATCCAACTTTTATCTATACTTACTTCATACAATAAAACAATTAGGTAATAACATTCTTTTTATCGCATTTAAAATGATTTATTAATTTTAACTACCTAAATTAAAATTTTTCCTTGCCTTGGTATACCAATTTATTTTACATCGCAGTCACTCATTGATTTACATTCTCCCACCTGTTTTTAAAATATCAAAAATTGTTAATGATCCTACTACACACAAATCACAATTCTTCACTAAAAACTGCCTACTCACAAACTTAAGCACAATGACTTTTGCTCCTACTACATCATTCCACTTGACATTGACGGGTACTAACTGATTTTTCATACCATCTTTCTATCAGTTGTTAGCCGTAGACTCCAACACAGATCAGAGGTAATGTAAGTCGATAAAACCTCACCAGCTACAGGGGATCATATAAGATGCCCCCATTTTCATTTTTTATTAATACACAATTTAAGAGTCTATTGCATTTACCTTAATAAATAAAATGAAGATTACTTTTTAAATCCGGATGTCCATCCAATGTTTTTTATGTGGCCATACAATGTTTTTTTCAACAACTTTTTATGTAAGTAGTAAAAAACCAACTTGTTCTTTTTGTATATTTAAATTTTAACTTTCTTATTTTTAATATTGGTATTTTTACTCTCTCTCTTTTAGTAAACTGATGATGGAATGATACAATTCCGAAAAGATCTTCTTTAAAATAAAAATTTTAAGCTTTTAATAAGCGCTTTTTTTATACCTTAATACACACAAACACCACGTGCTTTGTAATAGTATTGGTGTTTTTTGTACTTCGCACTTACTTATGTGAACTTCCTCGTTTTTCTGGTATTTGTGGTTCCAACGTCGTTTGTTCTTCCTCTATCTATAACTTTTTTATATAGTCTAATAATTCCATTACCTTTTATGGGGCGCCATATTTTTTTTCCTAAACCATAAAAATCATGCTCCAGTTCTTTTGAGAAGCATTTCCATTGTTTGTTTTTAATTCTTTTATGTGCATGTGTTTCGAAGTGCATGTGTTTCATTTCTTATTTTCTTCTAATCTTTGTACGCTTAATGTCTTGTTTGACATGTAGTTGAGGTAAGCTTTTTTCTTTTCTTTTTAGTTTTCTTTTATCTCTGTACAGAACCAGGGAGTTTTTCGCATTAGGAAAGACTTGCTTTTATTTATCTTTCTCTTTCTCAGACCTTCTTTAGGTAAGTCTTAGATGATGGCTTTAATTTTTGCTCAGCTTTCCTCGACTCCATCACTTTGGATAATATATGTGTTTCTGTATTTTTTCTGCTACTCTTTGGTATAAATGCGTTGCTGTGTCATGTTAACATGCATAAAAAGATCAGGGAAATAACAGGTAACAAAGTGAAACACGCATCCATCGTAAAGGACAAAAAAGGTAAAATAATTACAGATTTAAAGGAAAAACTGGCAACATGGACAGAATACATTAAAGAACTTTTTGCAGACGAAAGACCAGAAATAGCAGTGGCAGAACCTACAGACGACACAACAGGGCCTGAAATCCTAAGAAGCGAGGTAGAATATGCTATAAGGAACACAAAAGGGGGTAAAGCTGCAGGACCAGATGAAATTCCTGTAGACTTGTTGAAACTTATAGACGACGACGCACATAAAATAATGGTGAACCTCTTTAACACAATTTATAGAACAGGCATCATACCAAAGAAATGGCTCTCCTCTACTTTTGTCACAATCCCGAAGACGAATAACGCCAGAGTGTTCAGACCACAGAACTATAGCATTGATGAGCCACACACTAAAAGTATTTTTAAAAATAATTCACAAAAGAATATTTAATAAATTAGAAGAGGACATAAGCGCCACACAGTTTGGATTCAGAGGTGGACTGGGAACACGGGAAGCTTTGCTTGGTCTGAGTGTGTTAATGCAAAGATGTTTGGATGTAAACCAAGACTTCTACGTAGGTTTCATAGATTTTGAGAAGGCCTTCGATAAAGTCAGACACCAAAAGCTGTATAAAATCCTAAGAAGCAAAAACATCGACAGTCGCGACATTAACATCATATCCAGGTTGTACTGGGGACAAACAGCAAAAATCAAAGTTGATAATGAGTTAACCGAAGAAATTGAGATTCGTCGAGGTGTGCGTCAGGGTTGTGTGCTTTCACCACTATTATTCAATATATATAGCGAAACAATATCTCAGGAAGCACTCCTAGAGCAAAACATTGGTATGAACATTAACGAAGAGTTAATTAACAATATACGATACGTTGATGACACGCTAATAGTAACAGATAACCTAGCAAATTTACAGTTTTTGATGGAAAACATAAACACTCATACCAATAAGTATGGTCTAAAACTGAACATCAAAAAGACTAAATTCATGATTGTAACAAAGAAGCTATACACCAATGTGAATTTAACCATAAATAATCAGCCAGTTGAAAGAGTAACGTCCTACAAATATTTAGAGGTTTGCTTCACTGATACTAATGACCAGACAAGAGAAATCAAGAGGCGAATAGAGATAGCGAGACAATCGTTTGTCAAAATGAAAAAGTTCCTATGCAGCCGGGACATAAATATAAACTTAAGAACGAGAATGTTAAGGTGCTATGTTTTCTCCGTTCTGCTGTACGGCATGGAAGCCTGGACACTGAAAAAGATAAACATCAAAAACATTAAGGCATTCGAGATGTGGTGTTACAGAAGAATGTGGAAAATATCATGGACAGAAAGAGTAACAAATCAAGATGTTCTGCTGAAGATGGGGAAGGAATGCGAAGTCCTAAATACCATACAAATGAAAAAACTGGAATATCTGGCCCACATAATGAGAGGAGAAAAGTACTCTCTGCTTAGACTCATAATCCAAGGAAAAATCTCGGGAAAGAGAAATGTGGGACGTAGGAGGATTTCCTTCTAGGACCCTTCGAAAAACGCACATTTCAAAGGCTTCTATACGCCTCATACTTGTAATTCCGAGAGTACGTGTATCCATTCCGTATTATTAAAATAAAAGGACTAAAATTAGGAGCCTAAATATCGCTCACTGCGATTACTCATTCAGAGCTAAATAAAAGGAAAACGCTGGGTCTAACGTAAACAACTATCATGGTTGGTCACATATATATCATAGTCACAATAGACGTTCTACAGGTCAAACAATCGAGACTTTGTTGTATAAAGCTACCGAACGGGAAGCTCTCCACCAGATTTTTAAATGATGATAGCACAAGCATTATACGTAAACAAGAAAGAAGAAGTGTGGATTAGTCGTAAAAGATTAATATAATAAAATGTACCCCTATACATAGGTATGCCTATGTAATGGCATCTTGACAGTGATTGCTCACGTTCTCTCAATACCAAATAAAGTTTAGTAGACATTCATAAATAAATACACAATAAAACTTTTTATCTGTAAACGATTATGGTTTACACAGAAATAAACAATTTGTACCTATGTGTATATCATAAGTTAATATGCTAATAACTCATGTTTTATTGCCTTATTAGTCAGGTGTATTTAACAACACATATTCATAGGCGCGGAACACATTTTTGGCACGTCGTCAAGTCGTTTATATATGAACGACATGTCACAAACCTCTTTCCTCTAGACTCGCCGAACAAAAGTTTGACAACGCAAAGAGAATTTGCCCTATCTACTATCCAACCTTCTAGATGGCTGTTTATATTTAGCCCAAAGCAAATAGAGTTGATTCTGTTTTAGTTAGAACGAAATCCAATAGGTAAGCGTAACGGAAAAAGTCGAGTCAGTCAGTGCGGAATGGCTTAAAATAAATTTGTTTTTTCCTTTGATGTAAAAAAAACTTTCCGTATACTAATTGTTTATTTCAAACTTTGTTTTCAGTTGTTATAGGCTGGTAAAACTATCAAATGTTTTTATTATCTTTAGAGTATAATGGCTTATTTTCTTCAATAAATATACTTAATATTTCTTTCCTGTTTATCTAAATATTATCATCATCCAGCTTTCTGCGTCCATAGTTGAACACAGGCCTCTCCTAATGTCTTCAAGTTCTGTCGATCTTGAGCTTCCTGCAGCAATTTTCCAGTGATTCTTTTGACGTCACCTGTCCTTTGTGTAGATGATCTACCTCTGGTTCTTCTCTCTACTTTTGGGTCTCTACACTGTAATTTTTTGGGTCCACCGCCTTGTCTCGAAGAGTCAGTCCAAGTAACGATCGTTCCATTCTTTTTTGGGCAATTCTGAGTTTGGTTGCTTTGGCCTGGGTTTGCTATCGCCCTAACCTAACCTAACCTAACCTGTCTATTTTAACACTCTAACTTTTCTTACAAAATGTCCTTCCTTTGAAGGTTAATATTGCTTTTGTCGCTATTAGTTCGAAACTAACAATTTTGTAAGTACATTATGTACTGTATTTTTTGTCACATTACCTTCGAGATTATTAGCTATACCGAAAAAATAGTGCTATCAATAATGTTCAAATTGAGTATAGTCTTATTTTTATACAATTGTATAACCCTGACTCCCTAATTCTATATTCCGTAAATTTATATTACCTGCAAAGGTACATTGTTGTATGGACAGATTGATGCTACTAAAAAATATTTCATTAATTTGGGATTTACTGATTTACTGACTCATATATATTTTGTTTCAGAAATTGAAGTACGCGAATATCCAACCGATCAAACTCGAAAAATTAAGAAACGCAGGCGTCGAAAGACCTCGAAATCTCAAACAAATAACCAAGACAGTACTGAATGTAGCGAAGATGAAGATCCGGAACCTACACAACCCAAACCTGCAGAAAAACCTGCGATAAAACCTGTAGAACCTACAGAAAAACCGTCAAATATATCTGTAGAAGTATCGAACGCAAACCCAGAACCAAAACCCGATTCCATAAAAAGTACAACGGAGGAAACGCCCAAAATGAATGGTCATACAGAGGAAAAACCTATACAAATCGAAAAAACCGATAATGCAGAACCTGTAATTATTGTGAACGGGTCTCCTGAAGAAGTTAAAACTTGTACAGAGAACCTAAAATCTACAAAGTACGATTTGAAACCGGATGCCGAAGAATTTGTACCACGAGCCTTTAGAACGCCAGAAATACCTCTAAGTCCAGTACAATTCATCAAAGTACCTCCAAACTTTATGCCTATACCGGTGGTGCCATTCAACGGACAAATCAGCCCAGCATTTATACCTCCAGGAGGCATACCAATCAACTTCCTACCTCCAGATCCAAAGATGTTTCCAAACTTTATTAATTTCGTTCCTACACCACCAAGAAATGAAGAGACTATGGAAAAGAACAAAGAAGCTAAAGAGGTTACAGCAAACGACCAAAAAACCTGTGTTATCGATAATAATACTGCCAAAGCCGATATTCCTGTGAAAACCGAAAAAGTAGTAGAGAAAAGTACTCCAGGAAAAACTATCGATATTTACACAATCGTCTCGAAACTGGAAGAAGCAGCAAAAGAACAAGAAGAAAATGACGAAGATAAAAGTAAAGTTACTGATATAGAACAAAGTACGAAGAAGAGAATATTTAAAAATAACCAAAAATACCGATCTAATTTTAAAAGAAACTACTATAATAGTCCCAGAAGTTCGCCTCAAAGGCAAAACGGTGATATAAGTATCCACAACGGTTTCGACACTAACGAAAATAAACATATCGCAAACGACAGCCGACTCGAAGAAAAGTCTGATCCTAAATTTATAAGGGAGAGTCCCGAGAGGTTCAGGAAAAATTGGAAAAACTACCAAAATAATAACAATAAATGGCATCAAAACGGAACTCCTAGAAGTCCGAAATATAGCCAAAGGGTTCCAATGAACGGAGAATCGAGACAAAACTTAAAGCACGTATCTGAAACAATCAAAACGATTGAAAATCCTAAGAAAACTGAATCTCCGAATAAACCTCCACTCATTTCACCGGCAAAAACAAACCAGCCGAAAATTCCAGATCAATGGATTTCTGTGTCTAGTCGAAAAAAACGGAAGAACAAAAACGCTGAAACTGAAACAGAAGACAACGATTTTGTGGTTGAAGATAATATTCCGATAGAAGAGGATAAAGACGATCAATTTCAGAGCTACGACGTAAATTTGCTTGTTGATGTTATTCCTCCAAGTCGAATAGAAGAGATACCTTCAGCTCGAATGGAAGAAACTCTAACGGTTGAAATAAATGAAGAGAAAATTGGGGAAATCATTAGCAATATAGCACAAATAGAATCAAACAGTATTCAGAACAACAGTCTAGTGCCAGATATTAGGTCTGTTACAGATATCGAAAGCGAAATTATCAATAAAGAAGAAACATTGCCGGAAGAAATTCACAAAGTATCTGCAGAAGTAGTAATAGAAAATGAAATTACTTCTATTACTACCGTGGTTACACCTGAGACTGAAACTATTGATAATGTAGATGAAGACGTTAAAATGTTAAAGAAGAAATCTAAGAAGAATTCCCAAAAACCTCAACCCAAAAGAGTGATAATTACAGATATAGATTTGTCTGATAAATGTGAGGAACCAAAAACACCAATTAAAAAAGTTGTAAAGAAGGTTGATAAATCTAAAGAGGCTCCAGAAATCAAAATCGAAACAGTTGAACCTATAGTGATGAAACCAGTGCCTTCCGATGATACAGATGAGAAGAAGATAAAAAAGAAAAAGAAGAAAACCCCAAAGACTGTAGCTGATTCAAGTTTGTCCAGTTCGACAACTACTTTAAGTGTGACTGAAGATGCATACGATATTTTATTAGATGCGAATCTATCGATAGAGTCTGACAAAACGAATGACGAGATTTCAGTCGAGCTAGATAAGATGATCCAGAAAGGAATGTACAGTAACCTAGAGGGTAAAATGAGATCCCTCAATATTGCCGAGGAAGATGGTTTCTTCAAGTCAGTGTTCAGTAAGATACCGATAAGTGGGAGAACAGAGGCCACAGGTTTTTTGAAAACGCCGGACTTTACCAAAATTCCTCTGTACAAAGCGGACCCGGTAAGTGACGAACAATTATTAGAAAGTAAACAAACTAATGAACCATTACCTGCTTCAGAATCGCCAGACGTTTTTCTAGACCTTCGCCACGAGAAGCCCGATGACGCGCCCAAAGAACCGAAAAGTCTCTACCCCATCACGGAGGCTGTGAAAGAGTGGATGTGCCGAACTCGGGAAACCACACCTGAAGTCGAAATTTTCAAAAGCCCGATGACGATATACAAAGAGTTTTGCGATAGTGACACTAACAGTGACACCGAAGTGTGCGCAAACTTACTGTCTAATGAACTAAGTGCTAGTGCCGATGACGAAGAAGATGAGGTCACTCTCTTTACTACAGAAGATGCCAAATCCAGAGAGGGAAGCAGCGAAGATCTTCTCGAATACTGGGAAGATTTGAAACCGGAAGATACGCAGACGGAAACAGTAGGGAACGAGAAAGTTGAGAACGTGGACGAAGAACAAGGCTTGGAAGTTTATGAAAGCAAATATGGAAAAAACGAAGATTTCTTAAATCTCCAAAAGGAAGTCAGGGAAAAAACGAAAACGACATTTCCAAGACATGGAAATCTGCCTTACCGAGCTGTCTGTTGTAATTTAATGTGATCTTTAACAGTTATTGCTAAACGAGAATAACAAGATTAATTTATAAAACAATGTATTGTCATTATCATCAGTTATCTACGCATTTTATGCTCTTGGATTTTTACTGTAGTTTTGCTGATTTTGTATATTTTATTTCTCCATATTACATTTAAAATTACCTATAACGTATAAATATCGGCGGTATACTTAAATTTTTTTACATTAAGATTAAAAAAGAAAAATGTTATAAGTAAAATGTTTAAAATTTATGTTTTTCGAACATTCTTCTGTTTGTCCAATATAAACCCAAACTTTTGAACACATGAATCCTTAAAAAAATTTTGCCAATTTGGAAAAAGTCAAAATTACAAACATATTTGTACATTTCTTCCAATATTCACGTTTAGCAACTAACTAGCGATACCTATTGCTACATTATTAGCACTCAAACTGTGTGTACTGTCTCCAGTAAGTTTTATTTAAAAATATGTGTACAGTATTTTGACCTACATTAAAATTTCTTTTCGCAATATATGAAAAAGATGTTATAACCTATGGTAGGTTGATTTTGTTGCAGAAATTTTTATGAATTTTCAGTTGTTTGCAAAATTATACTAGAAACGTGTAACCACTTCTGAAATGTCATATAACCTACCCTTTTTCTTTGATGTACTTGTAGTTACGGCATTTCTAAAATATTTTAGAGTATTTTATAACATTTTGTCAATCCATGAACTGGATCTGTGAATTTGAAAATGCTGGTGATAGATAGTGGTGATCAATGAGTAAACAGAGGAACTGAGTGACTGAGTGATTTTGAGATGTGCAACAAGTAGGACGAACTAGTTGACCTGGTTGGCTTCTTCAACGACTTGTTATCGCTTATACAGACATGCCATTGCTTACTTTACTTAAAAATTATTTTATATTTTAAAGAAAAAAATGCTGTATGTTCTGGCACCTATGAAAATGTTGTGCTTTGTCAATCTGCTATAGTCTCTCAGTTGTATCTGGTTATCAGGGATAGTGTTACTGAAAAATCTTATCAATAAAAAAATATGTTTAATCAAAAGTTTAAAATATAGGTTTTTCTTTGTCTTAAGAACTAACAACAAAATCAACGACTATCATGGAGTTAAATATATAATATTGTAGTAATATTCTAAAATCACGTCAATTTCTATTGTGAGTTAAAACTTTTGTGTCACAATTTTATATTGGTTTCCTTTTTGAGCAATTTTCAAAAGAATTTTGATAACTCAACAATAGAAATAAGTCTGCGACTAAGAATATTACCATTTCATACTATATTTTTACAGATATATCCGTATATCCTGAAGATGGTTATATACCAGTTCATTCTAGATGCAATAAATATTATCAGGTACCAAAATATTTATAATACACGCTGACCAGTTAAGAATTTTGTTAACAAATACATATTTTATTGTTACTGTATATTGTGAATAACTACAAATAGTAAATTGCACTACAAAAATGAGAGGGTTCGGTGTTGTTAAAGATATAATATCAAAGTAACTTAAGCTTGTTCCACACTACTAATTTCTGTGACTTTGTAAAGTTCTTAGTTAATATTTTTTGTTTAATATGCAATTTAAATGTAAAACTCATTATAATAGATTAAAATTATGGTTTTTTCGAAGAAAAGTTCATCGAAAACTAGTTTATCATTCACTGACAAGAAGATGCCCAACTTATATTGTATACGTCTATATATCAAATATATTTTATATTATTATTTGGGCTTATATTATTCGGGACTAACTTCTCTATATAATAACAGCCAACATAAAGTTAATCTACAAAGAAGTTATTGGCATAGAGCTTACCAAAACGTAAATTCTTGATTTGACAATTGTATTAAGATCTTAAATATCAAAAGCTTCATTGTCGACCTTGACGGATTTTTACGTATATTTCAATTATACTTTAAACGCAACGTTTATATTAGACGTTGTACCTATTTTTTTTATTTTTATAATGACAGATTTTTCCTATCGAAATGTAAATTCTAGATTCGACAACTGTTTTAAGATTGATATCTGAAATATTACACACTTTATTGTTGTGGCGAATTTTGCCGCATATATTTTAATTATATTTTAAACATGACGGTTACATTATTTATTGATTATTTTATCTTATCTTCGAAAAGATTATTGAACGAACAACCTCCGACTTGAATTTCATTCAAACATAAATTCTAGATTCGATAATTGTCTTAAGATCTTAAACTTCCGAAACTTGATTGTCGACTATAGCGGATTTATACGTCTATATTTCAAATATGTTTTGGATAAGATGGTTATTTCAGTCGTTGGAACTGTTCTTTCATAGACATTTTCTCTCAAATAACAGTAGATATCATAAAAATTAATTGGTTTATACATTGTAGACTTTTTATAGAAATGTATCTTGTACCTATATAAATAAAACAATAAATATAAAAAAGAAAGATAGGTATTAAATATAAAAAATATAAAGATCGAAAAAAAGTATATGTGGCAAAAGTGAAGTACACAAAAGAAGTTAAAAATTGAATAAGGATATACGTTGCGTTGGTGACCATAAGAATACAAGAAAAAATGGAGGAAAGAACAAGATAGTAAACACTGGAATTGAAAATATATTGAATAACTCGGTGAGGGAGACACAGAGATTAGTAATGTGACACATTGTGTTATTTATTTGTATATATGATTATAACAAATCCTGCTCAGGTACCTGTAACTTACAAAAATTGATCGACAGTCCCGAAATGTTCAATAATACAATTTATTGAACTAAAACTAAATGTATGCTAAAATATAGGGTACGATCGGAAATTTCGTTTATATTTTAGAAATAATGTTAAGACGGAAAATATTGATTTTTGATGGCATGTGCGCAAATTTAGACATCTACGTAGCAGCTGTTTAAACTATTATTATCAATAATGCTATTTATTATTAATTATAAATTACGGTTTTACATGTTTTTTTTCAAAAAAATATGCCGTTTGTTATCTTTTATCCATAATATATCGCATGTCATACGTCATCTGTCAAATCTCATCCGTCATTTATTATAATTCATCTGTCAAGTTATTTTTTGATATTTTGGCATACACTTAGTAAACCGACGACCAAATCAAGACATTGATTGTACTTAAATTATAGATTTCTCTGAGGCTGAAAAAAAAATATGTTTAAAAATATTGAAACAACTAAAATCGTAATATGTAGACAGTCCAGTAAAAAAGTAAAAATATTTTTTGTATATAGTAGATACTTTTGATTTACTTTTAAGCATTTTCACGTATACGCATTTTATAATTTTTTTTTTAAATAATATTGGGCTGTACTATGTTGAGATTAGGTACTACAAATTGTGAAATTCTAAATTCTTCCAAATATGTCCATGCTAAGGACAAGAGTATCTGTACGTTTAAATTTTGTCCGTTGCTATTTTAAATGATTATTTTTAGGCAAAATGTTACAAGATATGTATAATTACTTGACATATAGAACGATCAATATATGATTCGGTTTAAAAAGGAATATAAAGCAAACATGTGTGAATATGTAAAACTCCTGGCAAGTATTTGTTGCTTTATTATTCTTTGTATTTTGCCAAATTTACATGATAAATCAATCTTTTGTGTATCGAACAAAAGGTTGTGTTAATATTTGTGCTTGTTTAAAACGTGAGGGACTTTTTTATGTGCGATTTGTAAAGCTAAGTTTGCTTTTTTATAACTAACTAGATATTTGCTTGCCAAAATTGACCATATTTTATTTGTAATTTTTATATAATTGAGCCAATACTCGTTAGCTTAGTCTCCATTAAGTCGCAATTAGCATACTCGGACGAATTTGCTTTATTTTCCTCTCTAAACCATTGTCCCGCCAAAAAGTAATATACCTTAAGCAACATTCAGCTACGCCAAAGATATTTACTTTTTTCGGGACACCCGGTATAATGATGGCGACGAAGTGTTATAGCAATGATTGGAAACGGTGCTCAAAATGTTGTTGTTGTTAAGATATATAGGTAAATGTTTATATCGAAAAGGCCTACGTCATTAAGGAGACTGAACGTTGCCATATTTTTGACGGGGCAGTCAAAAACCGAAACGATGTATACTTTTTGACATGACCTCGTATAGGCCGATCACTCGAAAAGCTGTTGGAAGTAGAACGGGTTTTTAATGCAAACAATTATTTTAAATGTAAAAAAACGGTAAAACATTATTTCAGGGTATCTAAAGATAAAATTTTCAAATCACTCAAAACTATAGAAGTAAACTATAAAGAGAACAAAAATATACTATTTTATCTCCTAAATACATAAAAAAAAGTTCAAAATAAACTATATAGCATTTTCGATTTGTTCCAGATCAATACCTCGACCTAACCTCACAAATAAAACGGTGACGTCACGTTATAATTATTGTGATCACCAAAAAACAACTAACTAAATATTTTATAGGCAAAAATGGCACGCATTTTTAAATATAAACCCTTTTTATTGTATTTTATTCAGTTATTGAGCTGTATGCTACTATCAACTAATATATAACCAAATAGTTGATTTCGCAATTGCTTTTTACAAAAAAACCCCCGTACTTCCTTCAACTGTAAATATGAGATCTGGCTTAATAACAAACTATGTCAAGTATATGGTGCACGATTTTTATTGTAGGTACTTGTTTAAAACATTGTTTTTTATCGTTGAACTCGTTATTGTTATAAAATGTAACGAATATAGGTGGGAATTCACCTTTTAAATATATAGCGGTGCCACCTCTGCATAATTTTAAGCGTTAATTAAGTTTATCGACTTTTTTGTTTTTTTTTTTTATTTTGTTTTTAACTATAGAATATATCGAGCTCAGTTACATGTTATTTTGAGTAGAGTACGATTTTACCAATCTTACCTGTATCGCCTGAAACATAAATTTTAATGTAAAATGTGCGTTTAGCGTCAATTTAAATCATTTTAGGCTAATCTTATAGACGAGAATTTTGCAAATTTTAGTTTTTAGGGGTCTTTGTCTATATTATTTTATAGATGCAGCTATCGAAATTAAGGTAGGGTTTCTTATTTATTGAATCCACAGTTGACGTAAAACTATCTGCAAACTGCATATTACTAACAAACAGATCAAGATGCAAAATGAAAAACAAAAAGTTTAGAACAACACGCCAAAATATTGGAAGCAATGTTAAAGATAAAGACGTGATGTATTTCTATCAAGAATCGAAACAAGGATTTAGCTGAAGGAAGAAGAGAATTTATTGGAACGAGTTTTAAAAATATTTTCTTGTGGCATATCTACGTATATTATGTACTATATTCCATGGGAGTAAACCACAATTACAACTTAAAATAGGTTATATTTGTCGTGTAGAGCCAGATCAACCATATAAACAGAAAGAAAAAATAAAAAAAGGAACTTTAAATAATTCGGTTAGATGCCTTCAAAGTAAGAAGAAATGGAGAATAATTACGATAGGTCTTAGTATGCTCAAATTAGATCCTCCACATAATTTGGACGAAATGAATGACGTTCACAAAAATATAAATAAGAAGTTTATCGAAGCCAGACTACAGGTTGCAAATGAAAAAAGATATAAAAAAGACAAAATAATAAACAGCTAATGAAGAAAAAAGCCTGCTACTAGTCGAAAAGAACTAAAATACGAAATCAAAAAATGGAACGAGAACTTAATAGAGCTAGTCAAATAAAACAACACAGGCTCAAAGTATCTGGACCAATCCTGGGTATTCAGAAAATTATCAAAATTAAAGACACCAATAATAAGATAGGGAAGGACAAATATAAAATATGAACACTTCCACAAACCCTTGCACAGCTCGCAAAGGCAGCCTAATGTACCAACAAAAGAGAATGTTAAAAGAAAAATAGTAAATATGGGAGTACTACCAAATACAAATGAATTCGAAATAGAAAGAGCTAAAAAATAATGAAATCAAGTGTACAAACTGTTTACCAGTATTATTATTAAACATGGATCACTTACAAAATGGATAGGTAATTATCAAACGGTAAGAGAGGCTTGCTTTCGCAAAGGATATAGTACATGAGACCGTCTGCTGACAATGATAGTCTTGTCTTCGTAGACTACGAAAAGCCGTTTGACTGTAACGAGAAGTGAGCCATTGATGCACCTAACCTAACCTAGAAAACGTCTTTAAAACTAAAAATTGTTTAACATATGGCATCAACGTTAATGGCAACAAGTTAAACAACATCCTGATTATAGAGAGCACATTCGAGGAACTGCCATCTGTGGTGGAAGAACTCGCAGACCTTTAATACGTCGGCCTAAAAGCGAATATGACAAAAACAAAAACAATGACAAACACAGATGACCACAGACGTATAACTATAAATGCCAATAAGATAAATAAAAGTCCAAGAATATATCTACCTAGGCCAAACTCCGAAACTTGACAAAGAGAACCAAAGTGCGAAAATCATTAGAAGAACAAGACACGTGTTGGCAGGAGTTGGAAAACTCAGTTGAATACTTAAAAACCGCATATCTCAATACTTGAAAATCAAAGTGTTCAACCAGTGCATCCTTCATATCATGACATATGAATGTCAAACTTGCACCCTAACCAAAGCAAATATGAACAAACTAGCCACAACAGAAAGGGCAATGTTTAATATAGTCATTTCCTTTAACCAGATTAATTTAGTAGGCTTTCCACTTGTAGTATTCAGACAATACTCAATTGTATTAAAACACAATAGACTCAAACAATTTACTTAATTAGAGACATAGAAATGCATTCCGTAGTTCAGTAAAACGGTAGCCTCTTGTTAAAACAAGAAAAATGTAGTTGGTCGAACTTTGAGACAATTTTTTACGCGTAGAATGTTGTATCATGAACTAATAGATTCGAGTGCAAAACGTAGACTGAAGTTTCTTTACGCACTGAAACAAGTGCCGAACCTTTTGAATAATTATAAGTTAGGATATTTTTGTACTAATAGGTAACAAACGACAGTTGTAGACTGTTAGAACTATTAAAGTTGTGAAAAAAAGGTAAATACGGCAACAAACTTAAAAGTAGTTTAAATTTGTTGGGCATATCGTAATTAAATAGATCGTTTTATTATCTTAAAAGACAAACAATAGCCTTTAAGTACTAAAAAACGCAATTTCCGTAAAATACAGGTTTCCAAAATGTTCTACAGCATCTTACTCAGAAATTAAATATCTACAGTTTTAAAACTAATTGAAATGTGTAATAAAATATTAAGCCTATTTTGTACTTAATACATCGACGATAAACTTAACATTTGATTTACCGATCAATATTTACTTTTATAAAGTTCTTTAAGCATTCTTTTATCTTCCTCCAAATTATCTATGTTAAGAAGAACATCGTCATCGTGAATAATTCAATCTGTCTTTATCGATGTTTATTATTACGTTACTTCGAATGTTTCAATCTGTCTCTATCGTTGTTCATTCTTATGCTACTTCGAACGTTTTATTCAAATGCGCATTAATTCATTTGATTAATGACAATTAATTAATGACAAGTCAGGAAAAAACGAACTGTTCTTTGAAGACCTAGAACAAGGCTACAGAAGAACTCGTAGGAATGACAATAAAATAGTACAAGGTACATAAATTACGAGAATATGACGAGGGCTCAATGATATTAACAATAACTGGGCTGCCCGATTCTTCAAGTAAAAAAGCACTTAGCTAAAGCTAAAAAAAATTTTCTTCAGCATTTCCTTCAGTTCATTCATAAACCTCCGGAACCATTGTAGTAGTTGTCATGATGTCATATTCAGATTTGTCTCTGGTCATTTCTATTAACTCTTGTAATGATCTTTTGCAGATTCTGGCAACCTGGTCAAATCATCTTATTGCGGACCTTCGTCGTGGTCTTTGCTCTTTTACATTCCCTTGATCTACATAATTTCTGTTTTTTTGTCTCGTAATATCTCCAAATTATTTTAATTGTGTTATAATTGATCCAATGCGTTTGTAACATTTTTCTCTAGTAGAATATTACAGTGGCATATAATATCTTTTTTTTCAACTGTCTCAGTATTCTGATTCAGTATTGGGAATGTTCAAAAAAATCTAACAAAAAGTATTGAAAATATGTTAGGATGTTTTAAGAGAAAAGCACTGAGGAGAATTTACAGTTGGGTAAATCAGATATCGTCAAACCTGGTGTACCTGTAATCAGATATCGACAAACACGTAAAAATATAACGGCTCATGTAGTGCAAATTGAGCAAAATGATCCAGAATGAAAAACGCCGCTGATAGACTGAGTGAACAGATGAAAATAGGAACAAGAATTCTTGTTAACTTCGACAATAACGCAAGAAACATAGAAATACTAACAATACGGAGGAATGCGATGGTTACGATAAACTGGCCGAAATTCTTTAGCTTGATATGTTTTTGTAAATATTTTAAATGGATCGCAAATATCTATAATCAATTCTTCAGGCATTTAGTGCCTTCGGGAATTGTGCAAGTTCCACAGTGTTAAGTCCTTTTGACAATCTACTGAAATTACTAAATACCTACTATATTAAGGGTTTTTCCCTTTCATTGTAGTTTAACATTGAATTTGTTATTTTAATTTTACTTATGACACTAGTCATTTGTACTTGTAACTGTAATTAACAAATATTTTCTTGTTTATTTACATTTACTCGATTTAATGATGTCATAGAATAAAAAAATTGCGATCTACTGCTTAAGTATATGCCAGGAAAGGGTATTGGCGGCGCAAAATGGCATTCTCCATTTTCAATTGAAAAATCGCAGTGGTTTTTGAAGAAGCGACTGTAAAACAGTTTTGTAGTATGTAGAATCTGGCGATACAGGTGAGATTGTGCCTCATTTGTAGGAAGCTGCGTGATTTTTGGACGATTGTATGCATGTTCCCCAAAAAATATATCAAAAGTGGCTTACTGCACGTTTATGACAATATTGTTGTAAAGGGGAAACTAAGTTAGTTTTAGTTGAATAAAAAAACTACAAACCAGTGTGTAAGTAAAGTACGTAATGTTTTAGTTAATTTTGTTTTTCTTTTTTTGAACTGTTGTATGTATAAAATTTTGGTTGTATCTATATATTAAGTTTTGTTGTTAAGTGGTTATTTTTTGAGATTTGTGCCTTCGCGATATTTGTAAAATAAAGAAAAATTCACCAAATTAAGCATTTTTTTAATTTCCAAAACCAATTGTAATAAAGAACATGGAAGGACAAAAAATTGTCTTCATAAGATATCTTGATCGAGAATTTGCTCGATCTTAAATGCATGCAAACAAGCGTGAAACAATTAACAAAGTGCAACAGAAAAATTTATTAACACTGTTGAAAAAAATACTTTTACCTTTTAATTACCTAAATTTAATAAATACTTTTTTTTTAATTGCCATATTGCCAGATTCCAGTAAGAGTCTAAGAAGGTATCCATTGACATTCCAATATCAACATAACCAATTCTGACAGGCAACGGTGGGGGGAAATATTTTTTTGACTTCTCCGTCACGGAACACAGCCTGGCATCTTTCGACCGAGCAGGCTACTACGCCAGGGGACTCCAGGATAGTGCCGGATTAACCGTGTTCAGGCTAAAACTTTAACCACCCGTTCCAGAGAGGTGGTCTTGCCACTCACTGAGCAACTAAAATAAAAAAAACTAAAATTTTATAAATAACCATACCTTTTACCGTAAATCAGAAAATGTTTCAGACATTAGGCCATAAACTAATAAATAATATTAACCATAAATTTCAGATCCCTGGCTCAATTTTCCCTATGTCCTCATGCTTCTTTTTTTCGTCACCCCAGAAATCAGACAGTGTACTTATCTCCGTGCTTTCTCTCCTATTAACATTATGTTTACAATGTTTCTTTCATCCAACTTGAAACCCATTCGCCTCTCGAAATCTCTCCTCTCATTTGCCCATCTCTGACAGTTAAACATGTGGGCGGAAGCGTCCGGTATCCCACAAACAGTACAGTCCGCCGAGGCAGATTTGCCTATTCTATTTGTGGTGCCAAAACTACCATGTCCGGTCAGAAACTGCATCAGGAAGTAGTCTAGTTTCCTGAACTTACATTCCCACTACGGTCTCAGATGTCTCCATCTACCGTCTTTTGGATGTGTACTCCAAACTTTAGTCCTTTCGACAACCAGACTCCCAGATACTTAATTGATTTAACCGGCGCAACCTCCACACCTTCCACTATAAAGCTAAGAGAGATTTTTCCGGCTCCCTTTGAGAACTAACACCTCAGTTTTGTGAAGCGCTAGCTGTAGATGTTCTTTCTGTTCCACTAATGCGATGCAGGGCTTTGTTAGCCGCATTAGCCATGTTCGTATTCTGACTCGCTGTCGCAACCAGTGCGAGATCATCGGCATAAGCTACAAGAGTGCATCCCCTTGGCATCTGTAGCCTCAACACCCCGTCTTACAGGACATTCCACGAGATGGGGCCTAATACTGATTCCTGATGCTGGTATATTTTTCTCTTATTGACTTGTCAGTAAAGTATCTGTCAATTACATTGACCAGGTACTCACTAACTAATTATCTCAGCCTGGACATGATTTTTCCCATAATGCCATAATAAAGGCATTCTTGACATCAAGCAGGATTAAAACCACCCATATCTTTGTATCCTGCGTAACTAAAGAGATCACTTCTGTGACCGCATCTATAGTAGACCTTTTGGCCCTAAAACCATATTGGCGGTCGCTCAGCGCATGTTTTTCTTCTAGCTCCCGCTCAAGGCGGCCTTTTACAAGCTGTTCGTACAATTTAGCTATCGAACTAAGCAGGCAAATTGGCCGAAATCGCAGCTCTTCCTCTTTACCTCTACTCTTTGGGATAAGGACAATCTCAGCTTCTTTCTACATTATTGGAAACTGCTGTTGTTCAAGCAGTTTGTTTAGCAATCTGAGGAAAACTTGCGGGTATCTTATTGCGGCAAGTCTTTCTGTCTCTGGCATAACCCCATCTATGCATCTTTCCGATCTTCATCCGTCCAACGGCCTCGCCGAGTTCCAACTCAGTAAAAGGTTCCGCATCTACGAAACCAATAACCCTTTCACGCCTATCCTCCAACTGGGGAAATAGTTCGCGTATTAAACGGAGTTTCTCCTCCTCAGGCAGGGGGTAGGGTGTCTTTTTCCCCTTCAATTTGGTACAGATAATCTTGAAGCCCTGTCCCCAGATATCCCTTTCCAGATCCTGAAGCAGGTTACTCCACCTTTCTTTTTTAGATCTTCTTATCTCATTTCTGTATTCATTCCGCAATCGCTTTAATTCATTTATTCTCTCTTCCAAATACAGAAGCAATACGACCAATTTGTGGCAATAATTGAATTGCTCCTGTAGTGATCCTGTCCCAAGTTAATTTGCTCCTTTTCTAACTTGACTGCACCGTACTTAAGACGACCAATAGTCAGAAATTCGTATATATGGTTGCCTTCCATCTTATACACATATTTTATTATATATTTTTTCCTTTGTTGCGAGCTATACCGTTATCTTTAACCTTTATTTTATTATCAACTCGGATTAACCTTTTTCTTGTTGTTTGAAACGTTCCAAACGTTTGGCATTCCTTTCCTCAGGTTTAGCTTCCTCCGTGGATGTGTTGGTTGTTGCTCTGGAAATCTCTGAGTCTTCTAACATTATTGCCACAAATTGGTCGTATTGCTCCTGTAGTGATCCTTTCCCAAGTTAATATGCTCCTTTTCTAAATTGTCTACACCGTACTGAAGACGACTAATCGTCAGAAATACGTATATACGGTTCCTTTCCATCTTATACCCATATTTTATTATATATTTTTTCCTTTGTTGCGAGCTATGCCGAAATCTTTTACCTTTATTTTACTATCAACTTGCACTAACATTTTTCTATATATATTTAACTTTTTAATCGTTTTTTATTTTTTTTTTTAATTTTTTAATAGATTTTATTCTCTGATTACTAAAATTAACTTACTTTACCTAATACGAACTAGCTCTAATATTAATAGTTTCAAATACTTTTATTACCAATTTATTTATAACTAAGTATTTTATAATCAGATGACTGAAGAAATACTACTATTAATCAATGAAAGAAAATCATTTAAAACAAAAATTAACAGGAAAACAAGAATTAACAGGAATGAGAAAAACACTTCAAACTGGGCAACTAAGAGATGAAAGGGGTGCACTTGTAACAGATATAAACCAAAAAATGCAGAGATGGACACAATATACAGCACAACTTTTTGAAGACAAAGATAGAACAGAAGCACCAAAAGAATTTAAGGATGATACTGGGCCTGACATTATACGAGAAGAAATTGAATATGCAATGAAACAAGCTAAAGGTTGTAAATCTCCCGGGCCTGATGAAGTTCCTATCGAATTACTTAAAATTGTGAATACTGAATCTATTGATCTTCTTTGGGAGCTATTCAATACCATATATAGAACAGGTATAATACCTGAAGAATGGCTCCAGTCAACATTCATACTGCTTCCCAAAAAAGTCAATGCAAAGGAGTGCAATGAACATCGCACCATAGCCTTAATGAGTCATGTCTTAAAATTGTTTTTAAAAGTAATTCACAATAGAATGCATAAGAAATTAGATGAAGGCATAAGTAATACACAACTGGGATTTAGGAAAGGACTGGGAACACGAGATGCACTGTTTGCAGTAAGTGTTCTTTCGCAGAGATGCTTAGATATTAATCAGGAAGTATATGCCTGTTTCATTGGTTTTGAGAAGGCATTTGACAGAGTGCAGCATAATCGACTTAAAGAAATTTTATTAAATAAAAACATAGACAGTAGAGACATTAGAATCATCTGTAACCTCTATTGGAATCAAACAGCAAAAGTGAAAGTTGAAAACGAACTGACCAAGGATATCCAGATTCGCCGTGGGGTCCGCCAAGGGTGTATTTTATCACCCTTGTTATTCAATTTATACAGTGAAGCCATCTCAGAATTAGCGCTTGCCGAGATCAGTGAGGGCCTTATAATAAACGGCGAGCCACTTAATAACATAAGATATGCTGACGACACCGTCCTTCTGGCAGGAACACTAGAAGAACTGCAACACCTTGCTGAACAACTAATTATATATTGCAACGATTATGGACTAAAAATCAATTTGAAGAAAACCAAGTTCATGGTATTTACAAAAGCACAAAACATCAAAGCTAGTACTAGATAATACAGAAATTTGAACAAATATCTTCGAAATGGTTCGATGTTATATTTTCTCTACCCTTTTGTATGGAGTTGAAGCTGGACACTTAAAAAATCCAACATTAAAAACCTAGAAGCATTCGAAATGTGGTGTTACCGACGTATTTTGAAAATATCATGGATAGATCGCAAAACAAACGAACAAGTTCTCGAACAACTAGGAAAACAATGCGAAGTTTTAAATTCCATAAAAATCAGGGAATTGGAATACTTGGGGTACATTATGAGAGGTGAAAAGTACGAACTACTAAGAAATATAATGCAGAGTAAAATCAAAGGTAGAAGAAGCGTAGGAAGACGTAAAATCTCGTGGTTACGCAATCTCAGTGAATGATTTGGATGCAGTTCAATTTAACTATTCAGGCGAGTAACCAATAAAATTATGATTGCCAGAATGATTTCCAATCTCCGATAGGAGTGGAACTTGAAGAAGAAGAATCAGATGTCTCTATTAGATAGTCGTATATAAGTTTAAAAAAAGGATAAAAAACATCCTTCAAACATGATAGGAATCCATAATACTGTGTCCGATGACTCTTGCTTAAAATTGCCAAAATAAAGATAGTAAGTAAAGAATAGTAAGAGGTACTTACCAACCAAAATTAGAACAGCTTCCAGCCAAAATAATAGGCAAAGGGAAAACATGAGAAATCGGTCGTTTTAACTCACTTGGTTCTTGAAATTTCAAATGGTTGGAATATAGTCCACAAAAGACGCAGCTTTTTGTTTTTTGTGCAGATGTTTTGGCTTAATGATAGTACTTAGTCTGAATTGATAGAGACTGCGTTTATTTATAGTGAATGTTTATCATTGAATAAAGCTACATAATAATTTACAATGCATCAAAATACTAGTTCATCATCATCAATCAGCCAATTGCGTCCACTGCTGGACATAGGCCTCCCTCAGTTCTTTCCAGTAT